ATGGAAGGCATAACAGCAAGCATTAAAACACGCGCACACAAGTAAGCTGACCCCGTCTACAGGAAACAGGAGTTTTCCATGGAGGGACGTCAGCACTAATTGCTTACCTTCGCAGTGTGTGCCGTTTCCCTGGTAACCTGGTCGACAAACACACTTGTAGCTCCCAAGCGTGTTCTCACACACACCCTGACCGCCACACACCGCAGGACTCTCCGTACATTCATCCACATCTGGGACAGACGAGGGACGGAGACAGAGAACGCTGCATGAAGTATACCACTTTTTCATTCACTTGCTGTGACACGATTTGCAATAAAACGTTTTATTGCTGAGTAAAAAGCAAGTGCTGTCTGTGCAATGCACCCTTGAGGTACTAATTCATTTTTATGTCTCCAAACCCCCATCAAGTCTTTATTAGGCAGAAGTCATTTCAAAATGTTGTCCCTGCAACACTATGGGGAGCTGTTGTATTAATATAAGACAATATTTCATTTTCCCTTTGTCCAACACCACATGTGTTACTTTCCCAAATCAATTTAAAGAAATTGTGATTGTTGAAATAGTGCTAAAACATGGGTAAAAAAAGAGAAGATATTACATCTGAAAGTTGATCTTTTCCAAACACTCCAGACTTTGCTTGTGATTTGTTTGTTACCTTGACAATTTAACCCCTTAAAAAGCAAGCAGCATGTGTTAAGCATGGAAAGAAGCACATCATACCTTGACACACAGGACCTGAGACCAGAATTGCAGAAGAGTCACACAAAAAAAAACACACAAAAAAAGAAAGCTAATAGAGTATTGGGGATTATAGAGGACAAGAGAGGAAATTAGTCATTAAAGAAAAGGTGAAAGAGCGGAAACAAAAACAAAGCAGGCAAGCAGCAAAGCAGCAGATTAAAGCGCTCTATCCCTGCAAAGCCTTCCTTCCTGCCAGCGGGAGTCATTAAGTCCGGAGGAACTCTAGTGAATGATGAGAAACACACAACACCAGATCAAATCTGAACATCGATCTCATCCAGCTGTGGTGAAGCTTAATGTCAGACTTACCAACACAGGCTGGAGCCGCTGCTCTGAAGCCTGGCTGACACTGGCACACAAAGCTGCCGGGAGTGTTCACGCACACGTTTCCCAGCTCACGGCGACACAGCTCCTCGAAGCTGCACTCATCCACATCTACAGAGAAAGAGAAACCAAGAACTATCAATAGGAAGCTTTCAAAGCCTTGTATGGATACGGCGAAGTTACGGAGGTATAACAACACCCAGACATCCTGCCCAAGAGTGCTTGGGGAAGACATTACCTCTAAATGCAACAATGCTTCTGAACATACATTGTGTAGACCCACATTCCCCAGTCTTACACACCAGATGTTGACATCAGTCTCACCTGCACAGCTTTTTCCATTAAGAGCCATTACATATCCTGAAGGGCACGAGCAGGTGAAGGACCCAGGGGTGTTTCTGCATTCAGCATCACCCTGACAGGCCTGCAGGCCCGTCACTGCAGCCAGAGCACACTCGTCTATATCTGTAACACCCATACGGTACACATGCATTATGATCATACTACACAGGGCTAGAACGGTACAGATAATCAACTCTTCCACACATACGGTACATCTTCTCTGCCTCTCTCTCGCTCTCGCTCTCTCTCTCTCTCACACACACACACACACAGAGGCTGACGAACCCTGGCACCCTCCAGCACCCATCAGGTAACCACGGAGACAGCTACACGAGTAAGAGCCGGGGCTATTAGTGCAGCTGGCATGGGGACCACATGGTCCTGGCCCCTCTGCTTCACACTCATCAACGTCTGTGGAGTACAGAGAGAAGATAATATGTTGCATCAAACTGACATCACCGTGTGCAACCACTAAGCACATAACACAGGTGCTTCATTTCCTACTGCGCCGATGGAAAACATTTAGTATAGCGTTGAAATATCAAATGCAAAATTGTTGTAAAGAAAGCGGATTACAGTCGAGACTAGGGGTAGCCTTCTTCTGAATACTGGTCCTGCTACATTAGGGAAATCTTCTGTTTCACTGATTTGACGATTGTGTTTTTGTTTTGTCAGTAATAACGCTTGAAATTGAATACAGTACTGATTTATTGATGTTCCAATATCGTCACTTCAACACTTGTTCTGTCGCTGACTCTGCCCCTTCTCACCTTCGCACCCTGCTGCCCCCTCCAGAGTGAGGCCCACAGGGCAGGCACAGTTGTCACCATCCTTCACCATTCCAGATGGACAACCGCAGCCTGCGCTGTTCTCCAGCATCACCTGGTTTCCCAGACGCTGAGGAGCAAGAACGGGGCTCGGGAAATCTGTGGTAGTCGAAGGAGCTGCTCATGTAAAAGAAAAATATAGCAACTTAAGGAGAAACAGTAAAAAGAGACTCAGAAAAAATGAATTAAAAAAACTCACCTGTGGTAGGTATGGGGCTCAGGGTAGTCTCACTGAGATTTCCGATGACATTTTCAGTCACCTGATAGTAAAAACAGGAGAGACCAACATATTGATTTATGCACATGACATGATCCAACAAGGACATATCTCTCTATTCTTATTTATCTCTTTAACAGCGTGGAGGGTTTCCTAGGTCACTGGCCTGGCTCTTAGTGAGCTCCGTCTCTGTGTGTTTCAGGACTTCATTTTCCTCAGGGCTGCTCAGAGGCTCCGACACAGACAGAACCAGAACCAAAACCAGCAGCAGGGCTGAGAGGAGAATCCCGAGGTGAGTCATCATCACCCGAATCTGTGTGGAGATGAGGAGGTGTGTTTACTGAGCCACACGCCGGCCAAAGAAAAAACAATAATGCAGAAAATAACAGTAAAGAGCATGTGACAATTACTATAAAGGTGAATAAGTTTGTGACATTTTAGGCCTACTTATGTGAGTTGTGTGCAGCAGTCACACACAGCAGCCCTGCAGTGCATGTCCAGGCAGGCAGAACAACATAGGGGTAAGAGCACCCAGTTATTAGGTTAACATCAACCCCCTGGGCTGTCTACACAGAACAAAAGAAACGTACAGCAGCTAGAATACAGCTGCATGTTTCACATTAAGTCAGTTCCATTTGAAAATATGAAAAGCAGCGGTATTTATATAAAACTTTTGCAACAATAGACTCTGAAACCCCATAAATGCGTCCGTGGGACTAACTTATAGGGTAATTATGCGAAACACAAGCTGAGTAAAAGTGTAACAAACTTACCGGGGTTAGATCTACTCGCACTTATGAACGGGTCTGAGATAGACGGCAAGACAGCGAGTTATCCAGATGTCAAAATGATCTTTCTTATCTTCTCCAGATGCTGAATCGTGCAGACGCAAGGCAGCTCTCTGTCAGTATGGGGGCGCTGTACGCTGCGGCAGTGACTCCACATCCTGTCTAGGAACTCTGCACTTCCCATTCCACGAATCCCAAATCGCCGCTAAAGAGCAGCAGCAAGCAGTCAGGCCCCGCAGGCGGCTCCGGGATATGGCCCTGCTGTGAACCCTGACATAGAGGTCATAAAGCAGTCAGGAGGCTCGGTCAGCCGGGGAACGTGGGAGGTCGAAGAGTCAACGGTAGTCAGTTACGCTTTAAGTTCCAGCTGAAGTAGTTGTGTACCACTTGTGAGACATCCGTAGCCTACTAATGGAAATATTCCATATACTATGGTATAGTGAAATCATAGACTGTGTGTAAGAAAGCAGCAATAGGAAAAGCAGTAGTGTGGGCAATAATACTAATTAAATAAACGTTTTAATCTTGGTTCAGCCATTTGAAGAGCGCTTCAAAAATAAAGTTGATTATTATTAGTATTATATATAGAAGCAGCGGCAATTTTACAAGTAATACAGCATTAGTAACAAAAATAATGCAAAATTTGTACTCGTTAGAATCCAGTTAGACTGGAGTGATAACAGAAGCTGTATGTATGGGCCAGGACTGGCTTCACTTCAGATTTTCCTCAGCTGTTTATAGCAAAAGAACAAAGCCACCGCCACATTAATGACCATCTTTATCAATTTCATCACTTTTTGCTGTATTGTAAAGCATCAAATATTTTTGTTACAACCATCATCAAATTAGGAAAAAACATCATTGTCATGTTTCATTTGACCTGGTCTCGGGGTATCTGAAGATCTAAAGCCCTGTTGATAATTGTTGCCTGCACTAATAACTGTGTCTCCCACCTTTGAAATCAAAACACGGAACAGTGATGGAAGCTTCATTCAATTCAAAGCAAACAAAAGCCAAGTGTAAAGAAAAATGCATTTATTATACGCATGCTAGAACAGTTGTTTATTTTTGTGGCTGTAGGGGTGACTTTTTAAATGTCTAATTGTTTTTATGCAGATGTCAATAAAGACTATAATATCAAGGATCTAGTGTTATGATGGTTTTATTTGCTTTTCCCCATTGGAAACCATTAAACATCTTCTAATATTTTTAATGTTTCTCCTCTCCACCACCAGGATCATGCACATTCTCCACAGTTTAACAGCTATCCAAATAAGCTTAACAATACAATTTTGAATATAACATATCAACCATAAAACTATTGTTAAATGTCTTTTACATGCAGCCATAATGACTTTGATGAATTTAGCTTTTATCACAGACATGCTGTAGCTGCCAGCTGATGATATCTTCATTTTGTGAAAGAGGTTGCAGAGAGCCTTATTGAAGCAGAGTACAATAACATTTTTATTCTTTAACTTGCAGTAACTTGTTATGTTCACAAGGCATTAAAACATCACAGGGAGAGGCACAAGAAAAGCAGCAACATCCAAACAGAGAAAGATGACTGTAACAACAGTGACTTAGTTTATACATTCAGTTTTAAGTTAATATTTTGTTTACATAAAATAAACTATTCTAACAAGAGGGTTGTGGATGGTGTCAAAGTGGGCAATGATACAGTATTTTGCATTATCTGTTATCTGGACAAAAAAAAGAATACAAACAATCAAAATGTAGTGGTCATGGGAATGATATATCCTGATTTATCATTCTTTATAACCATGCAGTTCATAACACTGTAAAATGGGTTAGCATCATATATATTGATATTTAGGACATTGATATTTTAGAATCCTTCACCGATTGTCAGATGGCGGAGATCTCTTTCGCCCACATGACATGTGGCACTGAAGTTCAAGAGTGTGCTTCCCATAAATGCATATGAAATTGAGCAGGATGAGCAGTGAAATGTGCCAAATGTCATGAGATCTCAAAATCATTCACCATTGGAAAGTTCACACCGGTTCCTCTATTCTGGCAGAAGGAGCACAGCCAGTTAAAAAAAAAGTCTATCATCGAGTTTGGAATGAAAACTTACAGACATGGCCGCCAATCACTGGTATTGTGTGTACTGTGCATCCCTTTGCAGACAATGACATGCTCAGAAGCAGTCCTCAGTGAAAGTGCAGTTAGCAGAAGACCTAGCTATAGGATGAGGGTGAAGGCTACCACTAGAAGGGAGTGTCCATCTGGCTGCATTTTGCAGCGGGTGACACCACACCATAGCTCCGCTCCTGCCACCTCAGCCACTGCATGTGGACCTCTTTTTGGACCTGTCAAACACACACAAACACATATAGAAAACGCAGTATTAGGCTGTTTTCAAACTAGTAAGATGATGCTGTTGCAACTTACATGCCACATGTATTTATTCAAATAATTATGTAATTAGTTTATGTTTTTTTACTAATTCAATACATTTATACAACACTGCAATATACTTAGCATATACCTAGCAATAGTGCAACATTACGTTACATATAAGGCTACAACCAGCATCTAGTTAGCTTAGCTTATGAATACAAAACGTCAAATTAAAATGCATAATTGCATTGAGCAGTTACGTTTGAATATCACCACGGCAATCACGACACATCATTAGGTAGAGACAAATGTGTTTTGTCGTGCAGTGAAACAGAATGTTTTTTAAAAGAAAAGATGATGTGGGAGACAACCCTACGTCTGTAAAAGCTCCAACGTGTGTGGTGATGCAATATGAATACATTACCTTTGAATTCATAAAGGCAAGCAGTGAAGGGTGATGGGAAGCAGAATATTTATTTTGGTCATTACAACTGAGAAAGGCACAGCACATTTACAGCTCGGTGTATTTGTTCTCTCCTTTTTTAGTCATGTTATGTTTTTTTTTTACTCATTTATTTGAAAAGTTGGTCTTCAGAATTTATTTTAACAATCAGAAGTGTGCGTTAAGTTACAAAAGATTGAGAACCTCTGGTTTAGCACAAAGACTTGGGGAAACAGGTGACCTGGCTCTGTCGGCCTACCAGCACCGCTAAACATCCTGTATAACATCAAGTGTAACGGGGGGGTTATGTCCAGGACAGTTTCTTGGTCAGGAGCGGTGCTTCTTGGGAGTCAACACTAGTTACCTGGCAAAGAAATTGTCCGTTACTTAACACCCCTGCAAAACAGCAGATTGTTGATTTTATACTTTGGTGTTTGTGTGGATTTTAATGCATTCATTTGTCACCATTGGACACAGACAGGCTGGTTTTCCTCTTGTTTCCAGGCTTTACACTAAACTAAACTTAACTGGATGCTAACTGAGCCTTAATTTAAATGGACAGACATGAAAGTGATATCAATCTTCTCATCCAACTCTTAATAAATAAATAATAAGCATAACCCCCAAACTATGTCTTTATACTTCAAAAAGAGGACAAAAACACTTTAAACATTAAATTCAATATTTAGTTCCCCTTCCATCACAGAACTCCTTTTATTGGATATTAAGCAATCTAATGTATATATCTGACATGTTATTGGGGTATCGTTAAATTTATAAAGCATCAGGATATTAATCATGGATAATCCACTGCTGTATTTTTTTTAGTTCTTAATCTACAAGAGGATATAGCTGTAGATTCAATTAGCTAATCCATTAGTCTATTTGAGGATTGAGTGACGTCCAAGTACCCATGAGGCCCTAAAGCACAAAACAGATGAACGTGGGTTTAGAGTTATTGTGTACCGAATATTAAACACAGACTGTGTGGGGTTGGAAAGGCCTCATATTAATATTGGTGGTTACATAAGGGCTCGAGGTCCTTCCCTTATGCAATGAGGGTAAGAGAGGTGCTAATTATTTTGCTTTTGAAGGCCTGACAACTGTGAACCACTCAACCCTCACTGGTATGTGATCTGGGAACACAGGCTTATTATGCAACACAGAGCTGTAAATGTATCTGAGTGCTTTGTTGAATATGTTATAGTACATGCTTGAGAGCGCTGTGGCTTGTACTGACCTCTTGATTGAGGAAGCAATAGAGAATCGATACAAGAAGCCCCTGTAAGAGAGATGGTTTAATCATTAACATTTAGGACTAGTCTGCAGCATTAGGTTGCTCGTGTGAAGACAGCTTAAATATCAGATGATAAATGAGAGCTGACAGGGTAAAGAATAAAAAAAATAGGTCAGGAAAATCTATTATATTTCTCTTACACAGCCAGCAAACAAGAGTGGAATAATGAATCGTTTGGATTTATATCTCAATAATACATATCTGTATGATCTAAAGGAGAAGGCTGTAAACCCTGCTGCCTTTCTTCTTATCGTTATACTAAAACATTCCAAATAAATTTAGACATACTTGTTTCATCTATTTTATAAACAAAGCCTGGGTTACAGCAATTTGTCCAAGTATATTTCAAGTATATTCCATACTTATATGACTCTTCTGTGCCTAATTGATTTGAATCCAGGAAGGGGGGCAGGGGCAAAATCCATTTGGAGAGCTGACGAGCAAACCAGCCTGTGTGCCATGAAGTGGAGAAAGCCATTTGACTTTTCTGTGGTTGCCATTCATCTTCAACAGATGCAACACAGCCCTGCTAAGTCCTTTTCCACTAATTTACTTACGGCTTTTCAGGGATATAAGTAGGGCTCTTCAAAAGCATTTTATATTAAATCTGGTGTTCAAATTGAAACGTCTATGATAATCTTTTTAGCCATGTTGGTCCAGATTTAATACCTCTTCAGGATGAATTGTTATCGCTTTGGTGATCCAAGAATTGACAAAATGCAATTGTAGCCCCTTTTGCTCCACAAGAAAAACAAAACAAAAACAGCTGTCCATTCCTGTGGTGCATTTTTGAGCATTTGCATCAGGAGGAATGTAAACAACAGCAACAAAACAATTCTCTTGGCAATATGATAAAAATCTTAACATAAAGAAATGGACATCAACTTTGGCTATGGTTGAGCACCTAGCTTCATTGATGTGAACACAGAATCCACCGCCTCTCATCCCACTGAATCAAAAAATGATGAGTCTCTCACCATTCACTACAATACATATCTTTTACGAAATAAGGTCCCATGGTGGTCAACCGGAAGGGGCGGGACGACACTCTCTATGCACAGAGAAGAAAAAGGACCTGAGAGGTTCAAGGGCTACTCGTAACAGAGGACATTTCAACATCTTACCAAATTATATATTCCTATTCTATTATTTAAAAAAACAACAACATGTGAACAAATTTAGCAGGGTAGGCTACTACAATGGTATTTGAGCATGTAGAATGTGTCAGAATGTTGTGTGTGTGTGTGTACCTGGAAGGATCCAATGCACAGCTCGATACAGAGGCGCAGGTTAACGTTGAAGTAGTCAGGCAGAAAATTGAAGACCATATAATGAGTACCAAACAAAGGGATGAGGAGGAGAGTGGACTTAGTCAGGCGTCTGTTGCACAGAAGGAAAGAAACAAGATGCAGGAGGTGAAGCTACCCCAGGGAATCCTCTAGTGCACGTCTAATCTAAATACTGCTCCGGAGAGCATCATGCATGCAGGCACGCTAATCATCAGATTGCAATCAAGAGGATGCTTGTGTGTGCGCGTCAGTTTCAGTTTCACGCAGAATTTCTTTAATGAGGGGAAAGGTAGTAGCAGGTGCATGATTCAAAGTGAGGACAACAAAATATGAGTGCAGATGGGCATGTTTTCCTTTTTATGTGCAGGGGAACAAATTAAGTTACCTGGTGCAATCAAGTCAAGCATCACTCAACTTATACATGCCTTTGGTATGTCTGTTATAAGATTTGGATATGCATTATGTTCCTAAACACTTTCAGACAATTTAGGAGCCTATTTCAAATATAAATTCTAATTCTGGGTAGTGGAACGTTACACGTGGCTATACTGACTAGTTTGAGGTTCAGTAGTGACTGAATGAATTATACATTGCCGACTGTCGAGCATCAAAAGTTTTAAAACGACTTGCATCTTTCCCGACATCAAAGTGTCTACTTATCAGAGATAAATAAAGTCACACGGACGCAACTTTGAAAATTCAAGACTGTGTGAGAACAAGATGAAAGCAAAATCTGATAAAAGCAATAAATGCTGTAATGTTTAAAGTATGAGAAACTGTATCACTGCTGAGTTCAGTCACTCATACTGTGTCTACATGTGTCTGCAGCCAAAGCATTACCTGTACTGAGAGGAGTTATTGAAGTGGATCAGCCGAGGATTGAGCTTCTGTATCAGGATTCTGATGATGTTCATGAAGAGAATGAAATTGACCTGTCGATTGGAAAAATCAAGAAATGTTAAGCTTTAATAATGAGATAAAATGTCAGATGTCATTATTGAATGTCAGGGCAACAATATGGGCAGCCCAGTGAGTAATTGACTAGGACAAGTGTGAGGGCAGTCTTTGACAGTCTATTCAAACATGCACAAAAGACGTTTTCGTTTTTTACAATTTCTCCGAAACCGTCTAAATAAAAACATCTGCATAACAATCTGCTAGGTGCATAACTAACAGTTGTGTCTGTTTCGGCACAATGGGAGTATTTACCGCAATAGACACAACAATTGGCCCCTTGATGATCCACCAATAGGGCGAGTTCTCGTTGATGTCCCAACATCTATATAGGAAGACAACTTTGAAATGTGCTCTTTAGTCGGTCTGCAGAAGTTCTTTAAGGGTTTGATGCACAATGAATTCAACTGACCGTATAGTAAAAGTCAAGTCATAACCAGCAAATACTAACAAGTACAAAGTGAGTGCAAATTAAAATAAATAGTGTCAAGGTGTAAAAGGTATCTCACCTTCTCTCCTCACGGTGTGTTTTTTCATCAAAAAGCTATTCTGTACATCATTACATTATAGGAACATTCTACACACTGTGGCTCTGTTGGTCATTACGTCTGTTGTAGTGTGCCTTAAATGTATATATATAAGAAATAACTGTGCTTGTGGAGATAGAAGTGGTACTGGAACTTTATACAAACTCTGTGTCCTCAAAATACATCCTGGATCCAATCCACAGGATGATGAAGAGCACAGGTACACCTGTGGAAAAAAGCAAAACTAATGTCAGCGAAATGCAATCAATACACACCGAGTTGGTTGAGTCTTAATTAGAAACTTTTCTAATATCTGTATTGATCTGTAATTTTAATATTTTAGAGGCTTTATGCACTAGATGTCTACAGTAACAATGTCCTGCCTTGCCACCGCTGGGACACATTCCTGTATATTTATTGTACTTGTGGCAAGTTAAGAGGCAGAAACATCCAACCCCCAATCAAATACATTAGAAGGGACTGCCACAGGGATGTTAACTTTTATTGAGTTGGTTCTGTAATTACAGCTGATGACACCGAGCCAGGAGAGTTTCTGTCTGTTTTTAAATATTAGGTTGGGGATATCGGCCGATGGCGGTCAGTCTGCTTCTTGTTGTCCCTAAAGGCAGCTGTGAATCTCTTTCGAATGACAGAACTGCAATAATAACTGTTGACCTCAATGGGATTGAAGTTAGTTATCTGATTTTGGAGAATGAAGCATAATTCACAAGTCATCTTAGGCCCACTTGGCCTGAGGTTGATGAGAGTGGTAGGTGTGATATATTGCACTATGTTTGGTATTTAATAATAAATGCTATTTGGAAGTAATTAGAGGAAAACATGTCAAACTCTCCAGTGAGTGACCCTGTGGAGACCTAAAGTAAATGTCAATTTATTTTTTAATTTGAAACTGCAAAGCTGCAATGTGACTTTTATAATACAGAGGGATGATGGCCCCAATTTAATTCAGTGTGCTACACTCATTTGTAGATTGAAAAATTAAGAAACCTGGTAAGTGAATTGATTGCAACACAAGGAGAATAGTTTACGAAATACAGTTCAGTTCCAAGCCAGGTGCAAGTCATGGACTGAACCCAAACCACACACAGAGAATGTCTGCATCCCAAGAAGAATAACAGTCCGCAGGAGCATCAAACCATCGGTATGCTGATAAAAAACACATCTATTTTCTAAAATCAAAAAAGCAGAAACTCATTACGCACATAATGCATTAGCTGCAGAATAGACAGCAGTGCCTTAGCTCACACAAACCAATGTGGACTTGCGTGCACTTGCAAATTTTGCAATTTGCATTGATAACCGTTTGCTAATTTCCCTTTTCTCTTTCTCTAATTCATGTGTAACCCACCTTAAGCCAACATAGATTAGATACAAAACTCTGTAAAATATCAATCACCCAGTCTTTTTAAGTCCACTCAATTTGTTATCCTTGCATCGATCACCCACACATGTTTCATACCCTACATTCAGTAGTATCAGGAGTATCATAGTATCATACAGGATACTATATTTTGTGACATCTCATATTGGAACAAAAGTCTGAAGCTCAGCATAACAAATGTCGAGGAAATCGCATGTCAAGATCTCTCACCCCATCCCAGCAGGGTGAAGCCCCAGAGGCATCGAAGGCTGTGATAAAAGGACGAAAGCAGCAGGGAATTGAGGTAAAGCGCCTCCACCAGGAGCCAGAAAAAATTGGACATTATACAGTAGTGACAGAAGACCACAGAGGCCTTACAGGCAAACTGGACAGAAAAAGACAGGAAGGAAAAGAAGGACAAAAGGTGAATTGTAAGGGGGGGGGATTAGTAAGAGAGAGGTGCACAGTTATAATACGATGAGAGCCATAAGGAAGCTGCCCAGAGAAACTTCTCAACACAACCAAGAGTTGTTCTTACTGTGGAAAGGGTGCAGTGGTTGGTGTCATCACTTGAGAACAGAGTTGCATCCTTTATGAACACAGCCACAGCTTTCAGGATAAATGTGACGAAAAGCTGGATGTGGATGAAGTTCCTGGCACAACGCAGCCTCCTGTTGAAAGATCAGGCGAGTAATAAATGTAGTGTTGTCTAATGCACAAAAATGGCCTAGCAAAGCGAGATGAGTACAAGTCGGCCTGACATTTAAAATACGTTCTGCATCACAACACATTGTCACACTACATTGTTACACCCTAACTAATACCTACAATGCCTTGGTGTGCATGGATTTTGACAGGCCGCTGACACAGTATGATGTCAGTTTAGGGACACGGAGTGGGACAGAAAAATTAAAAAGCAAACTAGTTTGCAACAAAATAAAACAATAAAAATGTACAGTATGAGGAACAAAAAGAATAAATACAAATGTAAAAAGAGATGGAAGTTATGGAAGGGATTTCAAAGAGATTTTGTTACAAACAGATGCATAAAAACTGCACACCAGCTGCACAGAGAGAAAAAGAAACCATTAATTGAGAGGTTTTATTGTTCTACACGCTCCTACTTCTGTTAATCCAGTGACCCACAGAGCCGGGTGATGCGGGGAGATGAGGAGATCACTGAAATTGTGATCAGTTGCTAAGTGGACTTATAGCACCTGTTGACCCATGTCAATGAGGGTCCAAATCCAAGACAGAAAACAATTGGAACTGAGAGGAACTACACAGATAAAGGAGCAGCACGTCAGGGATTATGAGAGGGAAAATGATGGTCATTTTCTTGCATCATAACACATGACAACTGATTTCAATACAGTAATGTTTAGTTTTTACTTTGGGTTTCAAGCTTAGTGGCTCTAAAATGACTTCTTACGACAGCATCGCTCCTCTGCCTTAAAAGAAAAGTACAACATTTTGGGATATATGATTATTTTCTATCTTGGCAAGAGTTAGATGAGAAGACTGGTACCCTTTTTCCGTGTGTACGCTATATGAATAATTTATGTAATGCAAATACAACTTAGAGTTTTTACATTTTCATTTGGGTACAAATTAAACAAACAAGATATATTGTTTATAAGTAATATTTAGAGGTGTTGGCTGGTGGACTTTTTGTACGTTTGGCAGGGCCAGTTAAAAGTCTTTATGCTAAGCTAAGCTAATCACCTGTGGTGTCAAAAATGCAGGAGTATTTCCCAAAATGTCAAACTATGCCTTTAATAAACTACACTAGGACATCACTTTAAATGTGTCAAAGCTAAAAGCCCAAACAAACGCCCCCAAAACTGGGTGAGTGTCAGATATTATTAAAGGTGTTTTATTAGACCCAGGACTAAAGGTGCCTTGGAATAAACCTTTTTGTTTACAGTACAACAATATTATTGTGATTGCTATTGCTTGGCTCTCTGTGGTAAATGGAATGGCCTTGAGCTAACCAAAAGGCAGTGGTTACTGATGAAACAATGAAATAAAAGAATGTCTGTCTTCTCTCTGGACAACCACGACTTATTTTAATGTCATCTATTCTTACCTGAAGAGCAACAGGATAAACACAGCAACAGCCAGCACCACTAGAGAGATGCTGTAGCCGACGGTGTATATCAGCTTCACTGTGGCGAAGTACGACTGCTCTGTCTGAAAGCGAGACCAGAAGGAAGATGTTGTATAAAAGGACGTTGTGCTCCAGTGCGGAGGCTTTTAGAAATGCTGTGAGGCCTTAAATAAATCGAAATGACACCAAATTGCAGACAATGACTCAGCTGTACTTAAAAGATGAAGGCGGCATTAGAGCGAGAATGCTTTCTCCATATTTTGAAGGTGAGTCAAATGGCAGTATGTCTGGACTAAGCAGACAACTGAATCGATTGAGAAAGCACATAAAAAGCTTCTTAATTACAGCAGAACTTGTAATTGGTGACTTTTCACCCTGCTTTTGGAAGACTTAAAAGGTATTTTTTTAAACTCAAGACAAAAGATCTGTAGTAGTTCCTTCAGTGATTTTCTGAGAATTATCCTCCAAAAACACTGTTCAGTACGATTAAGCAGCAATGTCTCTTTGTGAAACAAGATAATTTCAGCTATTACCTGTTACGGGTTTATATTTTCAAATGAAGCACATTTATGCTTGAATACATTTTCTTTTCTGCTCTTGAGAGATAACGAGCCAGGAGGCATTTATACTCAAATTTAAACTATCCCAAAATGAAACAAAAAGGTATATGGGAAGCAGTTTCTTTTCATAACAGTCTGACAGGCTGCACTCAAATTTTAACAAGAACCTCTTGTAACATGGTACATTTTTCTTTTCTAATTTAGCCTTGTTGGTCCGTAACTTTCTGGAGTCCCTGCTTCTATTTGTTCTTTTCCCGGTGGTTGTGTCCTTGCTCCTGTTGCATCTCCTCTTGTCCTGACCTCTGTGCTCTCTATTTCCCACTCTCCAGTTGGACCTCTTCATCTGCCCGCACACAGAAGAAGCTCTCACCTCAGGTAGGTCATCATCCACACTGCAGGCGATGTGGTACGGTGGGAAAGCTCTGGACCAACCTTCTCTGGTGCAGTTACGGCTCACTGAACCTGAGGTGAAAGGTCAGGATATCAAAAAAGATCATCTTCAGAATCGATTCACAAACTTGTCAAAAGATAGAAATTGAATGTTCGGTGATTTTAGCCATGCTGGTATTGTAATTTAAACCCAAATGTAAATATTGTAATTCTGCCCCTCACACAACCAGCTCTGTGATCAAACACCCTCATTGAATTCTCAGATAATCGTGACCGCTCGCTTGTTAACGTGAGAATCTTGACTGCAGCATTTAGCTCAAAGCACCACTGTGCCCATATACAGCCTCACAGGGCCAATAGAGTGGATAGTCTTATTTCGACACTGTTGTATATTCTTAGCGACACATAACACATGTCAAGGTACTTTGTCTAATTTAGTTTAACATTCGTATGGTTTTCGATATCTGCGTACACTCCCAAATCTGCTCCATTAACCTGTTAAGACAAAAGATTTCAGATTCCTGTGATAATGTAGCAAGCCTTGTCACTAAGAGCCGCCATGAAGCTAAGAAAACATATCAGTAAATGAATACCCTGAACAAGTATATAAACAGACATACTTTATGAGCTAAAAAAAATAAAAAATAAAAAAAAACATACTTTGATTTCATTAGAGAAACAATTTAACTTTTTGACTCACTGTTGAAAACGCTGGTCTCGTCATTATCTCAGCCCGAACACCCTACTCACCCCCTCTTTCACCACGTGACCCTTTAGTCACCTGTGTTGTTTTTGAAGAGGGAAAAGACGGCAGGACAAGCTTTTTGGACTGGTTCCCCAACGGCTGCATGCGGCCAGCAGGCGACTGCATCCCAGAACGGACGACAACCTTTTTTTGTAGAAGAAGAAAGAAGGTTCAAAAAAAGGTAGGTGTGTGTGTCTGTCGGGGTAGTTAATCAGAAAAGAGATTACATGAACACACATTTATATGCAATGTCATACACCGCCCCTCGAAATGAGATCCACAGTTTATACTCATGGAGCGAAGGTAAATGGGGTGTATCATGCACAACACCTCCAACGACATACCTCAATGCCATAACATCCCCCTCTGTGTAAATTGTATTACAACATTCCAACCCAGACCTTTATCTTGAGATAGATTACATACATGAATTCTTATGTAACTATCCTTAATGGTCTTCTCTACCGATGCATCACAGTGACAGATAACCCAGTGCGTTTTCATTCTGCAGTTGGGACGACCTGACAACTAATGATTCTCTGGGAAGCATTTATTCCAGCTTAGACCGTTGTACTTAATGTGAACATTTGCAATATATTTCATATCACAAGTTCAGCCACGCCTGGATTTATATGAGCTACTGCTGCAGAGTGATTTTGAAAATGTAAAACACACCTTCCGTGCTTCTGTTGCCCTGCTCTGCAATGTACTGAAGGCAGTGACGCTCCTCCTTCTCCAGCTGAAATATGAACTCGCATTCAGGGTGCAGGCTTGACAAAGCCTAGAAGTAGGAAGGAAGGAAGAAAGGGGATGATTGGTTAGATACAGACATTCAAGCTGAGGACACAGCGGCCACTCACTCTGCAACTCCATGAAAAAGGCATTCCATGTCCTGTGTGTGTCAAAACTCTAAAGGGCATCGAGTCATTTTGCCCTCAGCAGGAAATGCTTTCTCAATAAAACAGTAACCTTTCGGTCTATTTCCATCAGTGGTATTAAGCAAAATGGTCTTTCACTATCGCATACAGAGAGGAGAAGCTCAGAAAATTCATTAAATTAGTTTGTTCCTAAGGACACAGACACATTCCCAACAACTGTGCGCACCATCCATTTAGCACCGCTCAGAGCTCCTTCTGTTATTCTGCTCATCCCTTCGTTTAATGATGCCAAATACAAACAGAATAACTGCATTTGCATTTGATTGAGATTGATCATTGTCTAGAGGGAAGCATTACTTACTACGGTTTTGAAGCACAGTATGGATATGCATATAGAATTAGTCAGAATGGGTCATTTTCATTTGTGGTGACAGGTTTTCAGATGACTGGTATGCCAAAGAAAAGAAAGGCCAGAAGTGAGTCCACCTAACAAATCTAAGATGTTCATTTTATTGTAAGCATTCAATAAAACAGATCATTTCCCTGTGCTCACTGAGAAAGCTGGTGGTCGTACTGTAAGTGGAGTATCTTGTGTAAACGGGCTCAACTTCACTGGGTTAAATTAAAGCATCATTTCATTTTATCTCATGCTGCTGGCGATTCTTAGGTGGTCTTGAATGTAAAGGTCAGAGCAGCAAGCAGGTGCCTTTTTAGTGAGCTTTGACGGCATACTGCCTAACAATGTGTGTTTCCTGATAAAAGTCTTCCGTGGTATTGCTACTGAAAGAATCTCTTTGCTTACTTTTAATTCACCTCCACATTTTGGCATCATAAAATATCTGCTTTCTTTCTGCACCCTGATTTTGTGCAATTTGCTTGCACATTATAAAATATTAATTTATGTTAATTTCTGCTTGCCGATTATAGTTAGACTTTAGTCATTGACTTGGAAAAAAACATAACAATTTGATTTGATTGGGTTTTTTGATTCATTCAATTACTCAGCCATTCTGTTGCCGAATTTATAACGAAAAAGAAAATTATCTCAAATAGATAACCACAGAGTTTAGCACAAGCGCCTCTTTTCCAGTCTTTGCGTGGGCCGTGAAGAAATCATCATCTAAGGTTTGTGTGTTTGTGGGTGAGTTTTACCCATGTTGTGGGGATTTGCCTTCCTTATGGGGACAAAATGCCCACCCCCAAGTATCAAACATACAACCTCTCAGCATTATCTCTCCCTGCATCTATGAGGAACAGACGTGTCGGAAGAAACCTGAGCAAATTGCTGCCAATCCTCTTTGTTCTTAACGCAATGCCAATAATTTAATGAGAGGTGTCATTTCGCAATTTACGAAGCAATTACTGCTCCGCCTGTTCAAAGGAAGGCGAGGGAACCGTGAAAGAAGAGTTTATCTTGCCTCCTGCTGAGATGCCAGATCTTGCAGCGAGTGTGCTTCAAGCTGGGACATGTATACAGATGTACAGGTATATTGTTCTCTGCTAAACTGTGGCTGTGTTATTATAATTCATTGTTTGAGCAAGCATGAGATGAACAGCACCACAGTTAGGGCATTTGCATTCAAAGCAGAAACACTTTGCCATAAAGCGCACAAAAGCATCAGCTAAACGGCACACTGTGTGTGAGATGGGGCTCATGTACTACACATACCTCCCCTATTTATATGTAAGAGGATACTGTAAAGACATTTTATTCTAAGAATGGTGTGCAGTTGAGAGCAAAGCTTTGAGTAGCAGGGGATGAGGAACAAAGCAAGAGACTGGGTGGCTGATGACGTGCTCATGCATTTTAAGGAAGGAAGACACTAGCATGAATTTAAGAAACAGAAAGAGACACAAGGAGAGAGGTGTGGGGCTGTCTGGGTACTATGAGCCGTTAAACTAAATGCAAACCCAAAGGCCCCTTCACACTGGCAGGTTAGTGTGCAGTCTGCTGTAAAAATGCTCTCCGAGAGGTGAAGCCCATTACCCACTAACCAAAAAGTGTCCATCAAACTGGGCTCACTTTATACATGTTGCCTTATTTTTGACAGCAAATAAGGTGCACTTTTATGCCGCCGCCATGGTACTGTGGCACGGGATGAAAATATAAAACAACCAGATATCAGAAAGAGATCACAGACACGGATCACTTTGGAAAATGTGATTAGGTTTCTTGCTAGATGAGAATATTGATACTATTCTTATATCTGTATGCTAAATATGAATCTTGAACTAGCAACTGGTTAGCTTAGCTTAGCATAAAGACTGGAAAGGGAAGCAACTAGCATGGCTCTGTCCAAAGCTAACAAAATCTGCTAACGAGTACTTCAGTAGAAGCATAAAAAGGACAAACAGTATTTTTTACAGTGGTGTTTCGTGCCAAACTATTTCTTGGCCAAACCCTAACTTGTCAATTAGCGAGCTGTTTCCTTCAGTCTTTATGCTAGGCTAAGCTAACCGGCTGCTGAATGTAACGTTAGCTCAATATTTAGTCGTACAAACATGAGACTGGTGTTGATCTAACTCTTGAAAATGAATGACCGTATTTCTCAAAAATGGCAAATGTTTTTTTAACTGACAACTGTGTCAAGATTTGTTGGCTGCTGGTGAGACAATTCAGGTTTGCTTTTTCACCATACAGCCAAAAAGATGACCAGACAACTTTTTTTCTTTCTCCTGTGCTTCTTTAGGTGCAAAAACTCTGTCATTTCTGAACATTCAAAAGAGGCAAGGTACTAGTTTGCGTTAAAAAATAATTTCACTACAGGTTAATAGACAGGACATTCTGATGTAGCATTTCAAAATTAAAGCCCTTCAAAATCTCATTCATGAGACAATTTGTCTAATTTCAGATTAGATTTGAGAGGAAATAATGGTGCTACAAAATCATTTCACTACAGGTTAATAGCAGACCACTTCAAGGTGTCACTCAGAGAGAACCAGGACATCCTCCCAAATGTAAATTACTGAGTACAAAGTAATAATAAAACAATGCATGATGCTTGCCCTTCTGCTCATTTTGATCCTGTTCAGGCTTTTAGCTTTCTTTGGTTCTAATTTTACATGTGGTGCGTTTTATTGTTGTTTCATTGGCTAATTTAACAGCTGGCTGAGGGAGAAAAGTTGTAAATCACCATTTTGACTAACACTAACACATTTACAGTGGTCAATGTGCATTGTCCCTAAAAGTAAATAAATAAAAAAATGATGCAGGGCGCGCACAATCACCCAGACGCACGCACACACGCACAGGCTTGTTTTGATAAGCTTATTGAACACCACACGTCATTGTTCAATAAATTGCAAGTCTAGACAGTAAGAGAACGGAACACGAGAGAAACGTTCGCAAATACATAGTTTAAGGTGTTCATTCGTTATCTTTCATAAATAGTTCGCAATGTTTCGTTTTTATTATTTTAAACTATTAAATGTCCTGCAAAATAGAGCTTGCAGTTTTCTACGTGGCAAACATAATAATTTATCTTTTTCTTCCATTCACAAAGGTAAAATTAAAGTAAATCACTCACAGTTGAAGCCAAACACATGGAGAGAAAAATCCCTCTGAGGTGGAGACAGGACATGTCGTCGGTTCTCATGTTCAGTCCAACGTGGCGCTTTCATCAATGAGACTGCAACACACACACACTCCTGCCGGACGGGATGCTGAGACTTTCTCTCTGCCCAGGTGTAAAATACAACATTTGTCAAGCACACAACAATCAAAATGTAGCAAATCCTGTGTGTATTTTCAGAATAAAAAACTATCGGTCAGAAATTGCTCTGAAAAAAACTATTGTCCATTGCTTTCTAAAGCCTTGCAAATAACTGCCGCCAATACTATGATGAAGGATAAAAGTCAAATTAACCAGAGGTTGCTAGATCGTGAAGAGACACGTTCCTCTTTTATTTTGAAGGCAAAGGGTATTGCTTCTAGTTTGGTCATAGAGCTTCTTCATAGCTGCTGCTGAGCTGGTGTTTGTTAGATACTCAAAACTCACTCCTCTGCTTTCCTGAGCCTGAAAGTGTCGCCAAACACACACACACACACAACAGTTGGTCTTGTGTTATGTTTCACAGAAACATCAGGCGGGACTCCCACTTTCAACAATAACTGAAAGAAAAGATACATGAGATATGAGTCGCAGACCTGGCTTTGATTGAAAACGTGTTTTGTTCTCTCTGAAACATTTATTTTTGTCAGACTGCTCATTTTATCAATTTGTGCATTGGGTCAATTTCGTGGAAAACTGTTCATTTTTTCACACAAGATCTAGGTTAGTACTGAACTGTTTACTTTTGGGGATTATAAAAACTTTCCCCTCTACATCACTTCTGATGTATATTTAGATATATTCAGATATTACCTCTGTTCTACTTTGTTGTCCTTGTTTTTATTTATTTGTATATTCTGTGTATATACGTTGAGAGCAACCTAAAAACGGAGTCAAATTCCTTGTGTGCGTACGCATACATGGCCAATAAAGCTGATTCTGATTCTGATATTTTTAGAAAAGAGGTCTTGTTAAACAGGAATGTTTGTGTGTTGCCGTCTCTGTTCATGTCAGATTTCTGAACGATTGAGGCGGCACACAGAGATATGTTAATCTTGTTGTTTCTGTCGTTCCAAGCTGTCAAACACTAAATCAGACACAGATTAGTGGATGTCGGAGGCATCCTCACTCTCACATTTTATTCATGTTTACTGGGTGTTTGACAGATCTATTACCAGGTACACCGAGTGCTTGTAGCGATGATTCATGCACATTACATTCCCCCCAAATTATCCTTCAAAAACAGAAAGTAGAAAAATCTGTCCCTGCGCGAACCCTTTGACAAAGATAAGGAAAACTTAACAGATTTAATGTTGTTTGTAACAATTTATAAAATAATTATGACAAAGTGCAGCTCTGTAGAGAAAATAGGAGCCTTTGCATAGAAACCAATTTACACCCATCAAAAATATAAGCGATCGGACTGTGAAGTGCAAACACATCTCTATAAAAGCAGCATATAGACATGCCCTTGCTTCATTAAGTAGTGTATGGTTGTGTCCAAAAGTGAGCGAGCCCATTTTTCCTTACTGCTTTGCTATAAAAGAAACAATTAACAGCACACGATACTGAAACCCCTCTGATCACTGAGAGATCAGCGCAGAGGGTTATCCAAACATATCACAGAAAGATTCCAATGAAATCCAAACTGAAAAATCATTTCAACTGATAAAACTGAAACACATATTGTGCATGTTGTGATTTAAATGGAACTGGAATTACGTTTTTACAGAATAGTATCAACTCATACCAGGTGTCATAACAAAGAGTAAAATATACAGATATAAATGAAAAATAATCTCTGGCAGTCAGAGTTAATAGGCACTTTGAAAGTACTGTAGCTCATAAGCTGACAGTCATTAATATACTTATAGTGATCATCATTGTAAGTCAGTCTGCGTAAGAACAGGCACTCTGCTTCATTACATCCTGTCACCAAATGGAGAAAGCTGGTTTGTAGTCTCCTTACACAGAAAGTAAGATGGCAATTTTTCTTTTTCTTCTTTTCTAAAAACATAACATTTGGACATGCTTCCACAATTTTATGTCCCACTCCTGAGATTTTCACAGAATTCATATGCTATGTGATCAAACAGAAACAGTATTTTTCCAGGCCAGTCACTTTTTTTTCCTTCCTGCGCTGGCAAAGTGCAAACATAGTGTTCAGACAAGTCAGTTAATAAACAAGCCAGGAGCAAACTGCTTTGTCTGCACGTTTCTGCTCTGAAAGCTTTGACTTAAAAGATTGCACAACTGACCACGGTTTTGTAAATTTTCAAAATCGTTCCTGGGTCTCCATAGACTTCTTTTGCAAATAAATACATATCAGTCTCTTATCATATTTCATACCCCGAGTGTTACTTGCTGTGACCTGCATTCCCTAACATAACAGCATATTTGGGAAAAAGAGAGATCAAAGCAACACTGAAGACCAACAGAAATGAAAGGAAAAAATAACAAAATCAAACAATGTCTTAAACTTGACAACCTAGCTGAAATAAAAGTACGTGCATTACTTGGTTTATATTTTAAAAACACTAAAACTTGCATGAACATTTGTCTTTCTGTTTCTTTCTAAAACCGTTTTCATATTGTTGACAACGCCTCACTTAGGCGACAGTTAAAACATGAGCACGCCTCAAAACATTAACGCCACACACTTAAATAGTACAGAAAACGTAAAATACTTGGGTAAAAAACAGGTTTTGGGAACAAAAGAGCAAAAACGTAATAAGAAACAGTCACTGAATTTGCCGTCACAGTGACATCATGTTATCCAGCTTCAGGGAAAGTCGCTTCCATCATAGATTATGGGCCTCTCCATGGTCAGATGGTAGAATACTTTCTTGGAGAGAAACCTGTTGGAAAAGGGTTTTTTGATCAACAGACTGCAATCCGATGTAATTGAAACAAGACACTGAGTGTGTCAGGATAGGATTGCAAAGAGTTAAAACACTTTAACGGTAATTCTCATGCTTCTCCCACTGAGAGGAAGAATCAGCACAAAGACGCCGGATGTCAGGAGTTCCGTACCGTGAGAAGGAGTTGTCAAAGATGAGCGTGTAGAAGCCGGGATTTCGGACTTTCAGCTGTCCCTGAATTGTCTCTTTATGGGAATTGCAGCGAGTTAGAGGAATCAGGACCTGAGAGAAGAACCAACACATGAAGTCAAACTCAATGTACAGATGAAAGAAATCTGTCACAGGTTGTCGAACAAATCTCTCCTCGGCCGCTATAATACTTTTGTTTTTATGACATTTATGTTACATTACACAATTGCTTTTGATGGAAAGCAAACATTTCATTATCATTATTATTATAATAATTGTAACATAGGGGATGATATGTGACATGAGAGTTCATATCTCTTTTACAAGCCAGACATTTTAAGTGCAGGAAGTGCACCTCAACCTGCTGAGCACTGCAACACTGGCAACCGGCAGTGGTTTTCCTCAGCCAGTGATATTTGAAAAATCAAGCAAATAACTAAAGACTGTAGGGGGTGCCCATGAAAGCAACACATTGTGTTCAGTGATAACTTCTGCTTTTAAATCATCATTTTTGAAGTGGCTGCAATTTCTAACAATTGAGAAGCACTGCCTCCAGCTTTATGATGTACTTTAATTTGAAAGTATATTACAAAATTGGCTTTTGTGCTCTTGGACTTTTCCCTGTGGCAGAAGCACAAGGACCGAGTCTCACAACGCAGCTCATCTACCTTTGACTGCTCCACATGAGTGTCAGTGGATTCCCTGTAAACCACACTAAAGCAGATGCTCTTAGGCTCTGAGGAAAACATCCAGCTGATGGTTGGCCCGCAGTCACCCACGGCGACAGTTATCACACTGTAACAGCTGGACTTGATGAAGATTTCCCTGGAACCGTCGCCGAACTGAGAAATATCTTCAATGCCGAGAGGGACAGCCATCCTGCAATGAGCCCAAATTCATTTTAAGAGTCGTATGAATACCAAGTGACTCATCACATTAAAGGGTAACTTTGATATTTTTTCAACCTGGATGCTATTTTTCCATGTTTTTGTGTCCAAGGGTCTTATTTTTGAAACTGGTCCAGTGTTGAGGGAGAATGCTTCAGACAGCAAACGGGCTGCAATGTTGACATTTTGTGCAATTCCTCACCGTCAATTTACGTCCTCTAAAATTGCTTGTTTGTTATTATTGATGTGTGACAACATCATGGAAAACATTTTTTATTCTGTTCACTCGGTGAAGTCTCGTTCTGAAATCTCGCGGCACACCCACATTGTTGAAATCAGCTAAATATTCAGCAACAACATTAACGTTTTTTACGGCTGTCGTCTGCAGCGTTCTCCCTCAATAACGGAGCAGTTTCAAAAATTGTCGTCCCTATCGTTCTTCACTTCGACACAAAAACATAAAATAGGGTCTAGGTGGAAAAAATACCAAAGTGACGCATTAAGTTAACCAACGGTCAAGACTTACGTGACTTCTCCTGATTTGAGAAGGTTGATTTCTGAGTCCTGAACAGTGGAAACATGATCTTCAGGGTCATCAGGCGTCACATCTTTTGTGCCTCTGCAAGACACACACAGTAACATTTAGTTTTCAATGCATAGAACTCTTTAATGATAATCAAAGTATCCTGGTGACATAGGTAGAGCTGCCTTCAAAATGTCTCAGTGATACACTTCAGGTTCATCATCATGGATTTTACCCATCCATTCTGCAGGTTTTATACATTATGTTGAACATTATTTATGACATTAAGTTCAATCTAAGCACAAGTTATTTCAATGTTAACTCATCTCCCCCTCAGTTATCATTGAGGTACATCTTTGTACATTGTGTATTTCATATATTTGGTATCTAGGATGACAGCAACGACAGAATACTTCTGCACATAAAGGTGTTGAAAACGTTTCCATACAATTCACAACATAATGGTAACACACGTGTGCTTCAGTAGCATGAAACTGTCACTTCTTTATTCTTGCAAATTGCTTTTTCGCTTATCAATGAAAACGAGAAGAAACACTTCCCTAATTACTATTTGACATCTGGTAGTGGGCAGAAATACGTGTGCTGAACTCCCTCAGGGTGCTACATGTTGGAGATCCTATTTCCTGGGGTGTGCTGTGACTTCTAAGAGAGTGGGACAGTCTGAGGAATGGGCCGTGATGAGTGTCTTCAGTGATCTTGTTGTTTACAACAATGACTGATATCGGTCAGAATGGACACATTGTCTCTTTGTAATTTCCTCTTACCCATTGGGGTTGCATTAATAAGACAGAACTAGTTCACTTCCTTAACCCTACTTCCCACGATTGAAAGTTCGAGGAGGTGAAAACAACATGGCAAGCCGGAAGAACGCCTCATTGCCCGGAGTGCTTTAAGAGCAAAACAAGAACATTTATACCTTAATCATAAAACTATTGTGTTTTATTCCTCCGTGACGGCATTATGTTTTCGTGTTGTCCGTCCGTCTGTATATACGTTCAACACGTATATACAGCCACGTATAATGCCTGGAGGGAATTTCTTCAAATTTGGCACAAACGTCCATTTGGACTCATGGTTGAACTGATTCAATGGTGATTCAATGGTGGTCAATGGTCACTGTGACCTCACAAAAAAACATTTTTGGGCACAAATCAATAATTCATATGCTCCTTATGGACAGACATGGATGTAAACTGAAATTTGACTGAGGCAGTAATTCTAGTTTTGTATTTAAATGCATCCAGCACCCGACCATACAGGCCTTTTGACTTGAAACAAGCTCTGATTGGCCAACGCAACACCATTACACTTCATGAGTGTACTGTATGTAGTTGTCTCTCTTCTTAGAGCTATAATTGATTGAATTAATTTATATATGTATCTATCACACTCACACATCCAGTGCTCCTGGAGGCCGTCGGTCTTGTTCTCCCTCCAGGGAGCCTCCTGTGGTCTGGGAGGTGGTGTCACTGTCGTAGACGCCGTTCACTTCCTCCTCTGTGATTATGTCAAAAACTCCATCGTCACATCTGTTGCTGGGGTCTGAAACTGGGAGGAACAAATTAAACTATTGAACCACTACATATTCTCATAGTATAGTCTAGTGATTGCACAGTATGCATAACTCGTATTGAGTGTACAGTAGAGAAGAAAAAACATTCTAGAAATCATGTTTGAGACAAAGCCACCACAAAAAGAGACGCACTGTAACATTATGCAGAGCTCCTTTCTTTACCGTAAAAATAAAACAGCTTCTCATCTGAATGGAAATGTCGCCCACTTCCCCTTTTGACTATTGAACAAGACTTCTGTTGCAAAGGTTTCTGTCCTTGTTCCTGAATATGATAAAGTCAATCTCTTTACTTCTGCTTAAACGTTCCCAGTGACCTTACAGTACAGGGCCTGAGAACTACAGTAATCCTCTTTTTGGGCCAAGGGTGCAGTCAAGTTAGCATGTAGTAGTTAGCATGTGTTTTGCCTCTCACCTGTTACCCTGGGAGTGGGTTTATATGGGGCTGCCTCAGGTGGTGGCTGGGGTCCAGCTCCCGGTGGAGGAGACTGAGTGTCTGAGGGACTCAGCTCTGCCTCTGTGAACCTCTCCACCACCACGCTGTGGTGGGTGTAACAGTCCCTGCAGCAGCGCTCCTTCTTCCCACTGTGCTTGGTCATCACAAAGTTGTTGCTGCAGTAGTAGCAGAAGATGCGACCACAAAGCCTAAAAAAATGTAAAATGTAAGGATAAAAAAAGGGTTTCATCCATATTGTACTCGTCATTTTGTGGCATTTAGAGAAGTTCTACTGTATGTAGTGTGAAAATTAATCAGCGCCAGGAGCAACGCTGTGCAGTCGGCCCCAGTGTCCACGGAAAGCTCACCTGCAGTGATGTCTGCGCAGCCACCAGGTGAACTGGCCTTGGCAGCCGAGGCAGTGCGTGGCCTCCTTGTCCACTAACCACCAGCGCTCCTCTGCTCGTAGTTTCTGCTCAAACTCCAGAGCGTCTGACTTCTGCCAAAGAGCATCTTTGTCCCTGTAATGCAAAAAAAGACAAATGCATTCAAGTTGTGAGTCATTCTGTGCTGTCTCAACAAATCTTGGCCCCGGGATCAAAGATATAAATGTTATTTTCACATGTATGAATTCAAATTAAAGCTACTATGAGGAACTTTCATTCTGTGTCGATTTGGCGTTCTGAGTGGACAAAAGCGGTTGTGTTTCAGAGCACCAGAGTCCTTTTAGAAACCATTTGTCTGCACTAAGAATAACTTCATAAAAATAACCAATCTTCTCGCTGGTGGTCTTGTTTAGTTATGTAGGTAACATCAGTACTACTTTGAGACTGTTTCACAACCAGTTTAAACTTCCTCATAGTAGAATTCATTATTGTGTTCTGTTGGATGTTGGAATATATAATGCTCAGTATTTCAAAGCTGTTGCGGAGGCAGATAGTAGCTAATTGTAAAATCAACATGACCTCTGAAGACTGAACAAATTGAGCATGTAATGCACATGTTATTACCTGTAGTTTTATACTACCATGTTGGATATACTTGACACCGGGAGCAGCCTCATTACCCCAAAAGATGCAGCTGAGAAGAACAATGAAGCCATACATGATACTAAAGAAGAAAAGACTGTAATCATGTGGGCACACATGATTACAGTCAATCCCAAAGGAGTTGAGTGAATCATTGTATATGTGTTTCATCCCTTACAGAGTATGAAACCTTTTGAGGCAATAGTAGTCCCTGAATCCAGTGTAGAATTAATGATAAAAAGCTGTCTTTCTATTTAGTTCTCTACCACACTTCACCTGTTATGTTGGCCTCTCAGCATTACCTGCTCTGTTCTCTGTAAATTATCTCAGAATTCATCGAAGCCTTTTCCCCTGATCCTCAGCCTTAATTCTCTTCTCTTCGATGTCAAGTACAACAACATCAGAGATCTGCTCTTACTCGAAGAACCAAATTAAAACACATTCCCCAGTGGGTCTAACGAAGGGCCCGCGGCAACCAAAACATAACAAGGCGGTAGACACCCAACAAGAAAATTAACTTTATCCTTTCCTTCATTAAGAAACTCTAGAAACATGCACCCCTGACGCTGCTGACAGCTGTAATAGAGGCAGGTCGTACCTTATAAGCTCGATGAGCCGCTCCTCCAGGTTGACTTTGGTTCTGTTGAGGTCATCGATCTCTGCAGTCATCGTCAGGCTCTGGTTTTGTTTGTCAGCTTCTGCTGTGTTGAGCTTCTGAGTCAATTCCTCGATGACCTTTTGCAAAGCCGAGTGGGCTTCTTCAGCACTTGAAGAGAAGTAAGTGCAAGGAGAATAAGTCAGCAGCTGGATTTTTGCACCCGGATGAAATGTACAGGTATCACTGGTCCAAAAAACACACCTGGTTACTGCATTTCTCATTTGCTGAATCTCGCTCTCACTCTCACGAATGGATGTTTCTGCCTTTGTGATGTGAGTGTCTTTCTCGCCCGTTAGCAGCAAGTACTTCTCATTTACAGCCTTTATTAAACATTATAAGAACATGCATAAAAATACCCATTAGTTAAAAACATCTTTGACATATTCTTCTCTATAATTTCAACAATTGTTCCATGTTTGTTCTGACGTTGGTCTCAATTCTGTTGAACGCACTTCAAGTATTGTACTATAAAAAAAATCTTGAACTAAAGAAGTGGTTCTCGACCTTGTCAAGTCGTGACCCACATGAATAATTGGTGTTGGCGACTCATAGGGCGTTGTGCAATGTGCAGTGCAATCTCATGTGCAGGCACACTTTGACTCTCACAAATACACTCAATAACATCTATTCTGAGGTCAATTATATCACGGGTACAGGCGAGTCCCCGACCCCCAGTTTGAGAACCACAGCACTAGAGGACATGTAGAAACACGTCATTCAGTAAAATCCAATCCTAATCATGTTGATCCATAAACACATCAAACCAGAGAGGAAGAATTATGATTTGAAAGCGATTTCATTGAGCTATCAATTGGATAGGGACCATTACATTGCAGTGATTTTGTATTCTACCTTCTGCAATCAAAGAAAACTGCTAAAGCAATCAAGGTCTCGCATTATAAAAAAACAGAGACCTGAAAATCATCTCCTGTTAATGAGTACTGAACAAACAATCTTCCTGTTATTATATCCCATGTGGTGTGTTGCTTCCTTTTCTCCATCCCCTTTGCAAATCCACTCATGACAAAGGTGCTGGTGTGACTATAGGATGTTGCACTATTGACTGCAATCTATCTATAGTCTTCTCTTAATCGTGTATGGATGTCTTAAGACTTGAAAAAGCGAGTACATGACACATTTTCTTCCGATGATGGTCTATTTATATAACACACAATTCTCTCCCTCCTAAGATTATAGAACACATTCTTCCACCACCACGTATCTACTTATCATGTAACGATCAATCGCTGTGTTTGATGCTTGAAAGACACAGACCTCTAGTTCAGACACTTTGCTCTGCAAGCTGGACACCTGCTTCGACTCCTCCTGCAGCTGGGCTTTCATCTTGTCCAGCTGCTCATTCACACTCTGAAATATAAGATAAACATTTAAAAAAAAGAAACCGGAAGAGTCTACAGCCATGCTAGCGGCTCTGTGAGGCCGTAAAGGCCCAGCGGTGCTTTGAGCTGAATGGTAATATGCTTACAATGATGGTGCTGCTAATCAGATATAATGTTTACCATGTTCACAATCTTAGAAGTACGTTGGTTATGACAAACAAGGTTATGAAAGGCTACAAGGAGTAGCATTAGCTAGCCAGACTTCCCTCACAAAAAGTAATAAAAGAATGAATGATGTCCGTTTGTGGCATTGCTCCCCTTGATGTGGGACAGCCAGCTTTGGATCGCATGTCATTATCCAGATATAATATTCAGTAACAGATCACATGTTATTACCAGGCGTTAATGGGTCCAAAAGGCTCAAATCTATGGTGCAAAGAATCATAACGGCAGAAATGAATGAATCGTAAGTGTAATACAAGTCATGATTAACGCGTTCTGACTGACTCGCCTTCATCTGGACTTGATGATTCATGCTCTCCGAGCTCATTTGGAACTTGACGGCCTCCACCTCCTCTCGGTTAGAGCCTTTGACACTCTTCATTTGGTTCTTGGCCTTGTCCAGCTGCTCCTGGAGCTCCACGATGGTCTCTGGGAGATTCACCTTCTGTGTCAGCTCCTCTCTTAGTTTGGTATTCTCCAGCTGTAGCTCTGCCATGCTCTCTTCAAGTCGCTCCACCTCTTTCCCCACTTCTTCAATCCTGGCAGCGTCCCCTGCCCAATGCTCTCTAACCTCCTCCTTTTCTGCACTTAGCTTACAGATGGTCATCCCAAGCTCTGCCATCTCTGTGTTTGCCTTGTGTAGACCATCACGTGTCTCACGGTTCTCTGAGGCTAATTTGCCATTTTCTGCCTTGAGGGTGGACAGCTCTTCTCGGATGGCAGCCGCAGAGATAGACAACTCGGCATGGGCGGCTACTTCGCTATCACGCTGTTCAATCAGAGCCTCCTCTCTCTTTTTGCACTCCATAAGCTCTATTACATGCCTTTGATTCAGCGCCTCTGCCTGGACTTTAAGATGCTCGGTCAGAGTCCTGAGCTCGTCTCTTTGGGCCTCCGTCACCTCCAGCTGTACTTGTGATTTTAGCCCTTCCTCCTCAGACCTCTGTAGCCGCACCCTCAGGTCCAGGATCTCTGCCTGGAGCCTGGACACGTCTTTCATGCACACCTCCAGTTGGCCTTCAAGTTTGCCTGTCACATCCTGGTTCTCTTTTGCGTGGACTGCGCTCCTCTCCAGCTGAGATTTCTCCATCGCGTGCTTGTCCGAGGTGATCCTTTCAATCACCTCTGTCTGTTTAGAAGAAGTTGCTTCTGCATCAGCTTTGGCAATCTCAAGCTCCTTCTCCCGAGCCTCAAGAGATTTTAAGCTGGACAGAACCTCAACAAGGTTCTTCTCTTTGCTTTGTAGCTCGGCCTCTTTGGCTTGCAGCTGTTCTTGAAGGCTTGCTTCGTTCTTGCGTGACGCTCCTACGTTCTTCTCCAAATCTCCGATCTGCCCGTTAACACTCTTCAGGTCAGCTTGCATGCGGCTGAGAGCTGCTTTCACAGTGTCCTGCTCCTCTCTCAGACTCTGGTTCTCATGCTCCAGCCGCTTTGACGTGGCCTCGGAGAGCTTTACGGCCATCGTGGCTCGCTGCAGACTCTCATCCAGCTTGCGGTTCTCCTCACGCAAGGACTTCTCTTTTTCATCCACTGTCATCTTGGTGTCACCCATCTGGCCGCGGAGCTGTTTCTCAGAAGCTCTTAGAGCTGCTAATTCAGATTCAAGCACTATTCGGTTTTCCGCCATCTCTTTCTGCAGCTCCTCGTTTCTCTTCATCGTGGTCATCAGTTTCTTATTTACTTCAATTAGATTGCCGCACTGCGTCTTGTACTCTTCTATCTTCGTGACTTGTTCTTTGACGACACCCTCCAGCTCAACGAGGTTAGTGGTCAGTTTGTCCCTCTCTGTGATCAGGCTTTGGTTCTTGGCTTCTAGCTGTTGTAGTGTCTTGCAGCTGGAGGTAAACTCTGCCTCTTTCCTCTTTAGATGCTCCTTAAGGGCAGTGACTTCTGCTTCTAAGGACTCTTTTAAAGCACCAGCACTCTTCTGCATTTCATCTTTATCTTTTTGTGCTCTCATCTTCACCTCCTGCACCTCTTCCTCCTTCTCCTCTAGAGATCCTTGAAGGTCCTGCAGTTGCCTTTGGAGGTTGCTCGCCTCCTTATCTCTCACTGTGGAGGCCCCCTGCAGCTTATCAATGGCTCTGCACTGTTCCTCCACTTTCGCCTCTAACTTGGCCTTCTCCTCAGACGCAGATACAACTAATGCTCCGAGTTTTGTTTCGCCGCGCTCTGCAGCTGCCTGCTTGACTCTCAGTTCATCCTCTAGCCTTTCTGCCAGTCTCTTCTTATCCTCTACCTCAGCTACAGCTTCCATCTTCCCTCTCTCTGCCTCTTTCAATCTGTCCAGCAACTCGTGTATCTTTTGAGCTGAATCAAAGTAACTGGTTGCCTGCTGGCCCTTCTCATTGAGAACCCCGTCCAACTTGGCCAGGAGCTCTATGTTCTTCCCCTCAGCAGCTGCCAACTTTTCCTGGAGCAGCTGTTGTTCAGCATTCCTGGCTTTTTCCCCAGTCATGAGTGCTTCCACCTCTCTGGACAGGGCTTCTTCTCTTCCCTGAAGAGCATTGAGATCTCCTTGCAAGCCCTGTTGCTCCTCTTGGGCAGCAAGGGACACATCCAGCTGCCTCTGGAGCTGCACGACTACGCCCCTGAGCTCAGCCGCCTCTTCGCCCAGCTGCTGCACCTTATCTAGGAGCTCTCGCTGCTTCAGCTCCGACTGGTCCAGCTCCAGGCGAAGATTTTCAACTGTGCTGACATCCTCGTTGCAGGCAGGCAGAGACTCGTTCAGGTCACTTAGCAGACCCTGACCATAGTCGGGGCTGGAGGGGAACTCGTGTGCTTGCTAGATGGTTGCAATGGAAACCAGAGAAGGGAAGGAAGAGAGGAAGAGTGATGAAGCTCATGCAGTCATTTTAGTATTATGATAAAATGATGTTATATGTGCGTTACCTGGGAGTAGGTGCTGGCCAGACTGTTAATACTGGAACTGCGACTGGGTGGTTTCCACATGTGGCCAGGTGAGTTTCCCAGTGTTCTCCTGTTGATCAGAAAATAAAGCTGATAGTGTACTCCAAAGTAGGTGCAAAGGAATGGCTGTATTTAGACACGCATGTTTCTGTAATACTTTCTAGATATTTTTGTGGTATTTATCTGCTCTACGTGTTGTTTTCATGATTCGTTTTGTTTGTTACCTTGCAAAAGTGGGCCAGGAAGCATCAAGATCATAGCCCCTGGAGGCCACATCAAACTGGACCTCATTGAGTTCGTACAGGTGGTTGATTATGTCAACACTAAGGTGGGGCTTCAAGAAGGGGCTTCTTGCGTAATACCAGTCACTGCGCGAAAAGAGATGAGGAAGAGGTCACAGTAGAACATAGTGTAACAACAAGAAACAATAATGGTGACCAACACTCTGCACTCTAAATTCGGGTAAATCATCATAAAAACAGTATCTTCATTTTTCTTTGTTAGACTGCTCTTCCTATTCAACTACAGCTGATGCTACTGACTGCTACTTTAACAGAGAGGGGAAATGGTGAAGTACAACAGCACAACAGAACATCGACATTCAGTTCAGTGTAAATAAGGAAATCAAATGCCTATTTCTGCAAAAGCGTTTCCCTGTGATCCAAAAACAGATGCAGTTCCATTTTTTCTATTCAGTCTACTTGCACTTCAACAAAAGCCCCATTCTACATATCTGCATGACAAAAAACATTGCAAAGAGACGTGTTGTGCTCTGACAGTTTTACCTGGTGACTCTCTGGTTCATCAGACACTGCTGCAGGGTGTCAGCCAGTCGCTGATGTACGAGGGAGTATCGGATGAACGCTCGTCCTTTCCCCAGAGATGTCTTCAGCTATCAAAGCAAAGAAAACAACATTGTTTTACGCGGAGCCTTTAGTCAGTGGTAACTTCATACTCAAACTGCAAGGACGTCAAAAACTAAAAAGGAAATGACAATTCATTATTTAATCTAAATTATATTTTCAATCTGTTCAAGATGTAACGATGCAGTTGGGGTCTATTTTAAACGCAACAAATAATATTTTTAAATTTTTCCAACCAATTACCTAATTTATCCAAGCTCTTTCAAAGACTCTATTTACAAAACCTGCATAGATAAGTTTCCCTTTCAGTCCAGTTCCCCTTTAGAAAATATTCTAAATATAGCATACTTAAACTGGTATTAGTTTTTTAGGTGGGCCTTTCTTTTCGGTAGCTAAAATAAATGTTGCTGCTGCCCCAGAGCATCCTGTGCTAGTACTCCAGTCTGTTTCTGTAAACTGGGGGCGTGCCAATCACCGTCTACAATAGGTAACATGCTGACTATGGATAAGTCTCATACAAGGAGTTAATGATTAGTATGTAATCAGCGTTATATTAGCTGAGTCATTGTAAAAAACAAACAAATCTTCTTACCTCAGTGATGGATTTGACAAAGCGGATCCCATCATTGGCTCCTTTGATTTTAGCCAGACAGTCAGTGAAGTACTCCCAATAATCCTTCTTTGTACCAAGAAATGTAGTTTTATCCTTCTGGTCAAACTGAAAGATAAATATATATATCGATACAGTTGGAACGGAAAACTGTTGAACATATATTTTGAGGCATGGCATTGATCATCTATTTATTCACATCTTCCTTGAGTATTTGGGATTGACAGGGTGAGGTGTGACAATATAAGCTAAATAAATCACACCTGCAGCAGGTACTCCAGTTTGTAGGAGAACTTGTGCAGGTTGGTACTGTCATCTGTGATTGGCTCCCCGCTTTCCCTGTACTCCTTTGCAAGCTCTGCAACAGCCTCTGAAATTCACATGGTTCAAAAATGAAAAAAGATCAGGGATTATAATAACGGCACAGGGTTCATACAAACAGGTGGCATGTCGGCAAAATATATTAGGGATGAAGCATCGAAGCAAAAAGGCAGAAAATTGTATCTCCTTTTACCTAAAGTCACAAGGCCTAAAATTAAAGAAAATCGTCATAATATTTTCACCTCTTGATGCATTTTGGTTACACACTCACACCCAAACACTCCTGGTGTCTAAATCTTCAATCTATTTTCATTTCTAACCTCTTTAAACTCAGCTAGTCTGTAAATCAACCACTTGCCTCGTATCCATCGCAAAAACTGGAAGGACACCCGTGATGGGTGCATCCTCAGTATGCACTCTCTGTCTAGCTGCATGCTGACAGAGGCTTCCACCACACCCTTTCTACTGGGACATGAGGTCCGGTGCACGTTTTCCCAAATGATTTGATGACCAGGAAAGGTCAGATAGTTCCAGGTGTAAAGATTGTATTTGGACTTGATGCTGAGACTCAGGTCATGACATCACATCATGTCCCTTCTTTCTCCTCTCTTCAGTCAAACCATGTCAGCCCAAAACTGCCTGCAGCCAATCTATTCACACACATTCACACGAACAGGCGCACACACGCACACACACACGCGCACACACACACACACACACACACACACACACACACACACACACACAC